AAAATATTTCGATTTCTTAGCTTCGTGAAATTGTTCAAAGCATATCACACGTTTTCATAGAAGCACAAACCAACTTTGCAGGTTTTTGAACACAAAACTCGTTTTGTGCGGCTTCTGTTCCATGCAACAATATGTTTAGAATTCCAAGTAAAAACTTGAGGCTGCGTAGAGAGGCTTTGGTGATATGGATCATCAACTTTCTCATCAAATAAATGAGTTTCATCCGACATATCATCATCGGATTACACAAGTGGTTCAGGAGTGTATATCTCAGTATCGCTGCTATCTTCATGCTCCGATTCAGAATCGGAGGGTAATTCATGAAGCACTTTTAGCACTTCGGAAAGAGTGAGATCTCTACGTGCCATTTATGGAAAATTAATAATAAAATATTAACTACAAATAATATTAACAATAAAGAAAATTAAGCGATAAAATATACATACACAAAAAATATCTACACAATTATTGAAAATAAACGGGAATGAGACTAAAAAGGGAAAGCAAAAAATTCATGCAGCTCCTAAAATGACTCAAGCTACTGATAAAATTCCCGCCTGAAAACTACTCGTAAAAATTCCAAGATGCCCATATTAGGGCTTTCATAGTACAAACCACACCTCACCCTTCAAGACTGCTTTGTTTGACTTCATTCCCCCAAAACAACGGAAATAGAAAACATATACAACAGATGTTTTCTACTAAGACAGATGTTCTGATGTGTAATACCGTGAGATCGCTAAAGGCGCAGTGTTCCCGCTAATGGAACACCCCGTTCATGCTTATGCGCAAGCTTTTTGTATGAAAATTGTAAAAAAATATGTAACGAATAATACAGAGTACAGCCATCAAAATTATACGGAATTTTTTTTTTCAAACAAATTTTTTTATCACACAAAAAAAAGAAAAAGAGAATTATTTGAAAATAAGTGGATTTTAAGAACAGATCATAAATGGAAATTCTGGGTCTCTTTGTGATATGCTGCCATCTACTATTTAAAAAGAGAAATTCGAAGTATATTATAAAGGCATTTTTATGCATTTATGTTTGAATTTAACGGTTTCAGAAGCGATTCAAGTTGGGTGTTCCATATAGTAGAACACTGAGCAACAAAAGGTTAAAACATGTTTTGGTTAGCCTTCACTGTTAAATTCAGATTTTCTAGTAAAAATAATTTGATAGAATATTTAATACATCTTTAGCAATTTTACTAAGAAATTTCAGAAAATATTATAAATAAAAATTCCTATTTCACATTAAAACATTAAGTTCATTGTTATCAGATCACAATTTAGCTTTCCTTTAACTTCACAAGCATCTGAAATTCTACACTGTAGGGAAATCCAAATTGCAGCAATATGCAAATCACATTGTTATATACTAATTAATAAGATTAATGATGCTATTTACGTGTCTCGAAACATTTCAAAAATTAACAAAACACCATTTGCTCTTTTATCATTTTATTAGGGATTAGATTAAAAAATAAAAATTGTTTATGTTTCAGACAACAGTATACATGTCAAATATATTTAAACAGTCAAACATATTGCCAAAAAAAAGAACTCTGGCTTTTTTATAAATTAAAAATACTGATAATTGAGCATGAAATAAGATTAGTTTTGTATACAGCTGATACACAGATACTGAATTGTCTGAAATACTTAAAAAAAAAAAATAAGGGTATCTCATCTAAAAAAAAAAACACCTTTTTCGCAGATGATTTAGCGCTGCTTACCTAATGCGCATGTACTACTCGTAAACATTGTCCTCTGTCTGAAACAGACTGGTGACAGTATTTTCTACTAATATAAAACACTTATTTCCTCAAATTTCATTAGAGATGTATTTCTCATTCAATTAAATTCAGTTCTCACTTTGTGCCAAGGCAAAAATAATAAAAACACAAAATATCCTCGTTAAAAATTTAAAGATATAAAAAACAAATACCAAATTACAATTAAAATTAGTTTCTAGGCAAAAGGAAGCAATTCGACCAGCGTGCAAGAAGACAGATTATTTGGTGCACAAAATTGAAAGTTTACTTTTGGTCTCACTTAGCAAAAAGACACTGAAGGCGTAGAAGCATTTAATTTGTTGTGGATGCTATGCTGAGTCAACATATGGGATAATTTGATAAAATGATAATTCCAGAATGGATTGAGTATAATTTAATTTGCAATAATAAAAGAAGACTTTATTTTGTTGTTGCTAATCTTAATTTCTCTAAATTGGTAACAAATCCATTATTCTGCTTAGTTTCAAATGTAAGCAAATATGGCTGTTATGGTAAAAAATTAGGCTTAGCTGTACTTAAAGAACTTTTAAATTGTTGATAATTCTGCAACTATAACATACAGGTCATTTAAAGCACAAAAACCTTAACTAGAAGATAAAAACAACATAATTCAATCATTTTTAAAGCAAAAATTGCACAATTTGCAAACATATAAGAGTAAAGAAACCGAGCTCACTGAGCCAAGTAACAGAGTGGATATATATACATATTTATATACTTTTGGTGTGGCCAATTGCAACCAAAAAGGGAGGTGCATATCTACATGTCATAGCAGTCCCACATACAAAATTTCCACATTCTGAGGCTATTTGTTTTCAAGTTATGAGAGATATATACATAATAAGTACGTACAGACGCCACGAAAAAATCTCTTCTGAATCCATTTTAAATCAGTTTTATAATTTGTTTGGGGGGAAAAGAGACCTTTGTTCTGTTCTTACGTACAGATGTCACACAAAAACATCGTTAAATTGCATTCAATAGCAATCAAAATGGATATTTCGTTGAAATATGGTACCCAGAATTTTTCATGATTGCAATACTTTTTTTTACTTCGTACAAAGAAGTAAAAACTGATCTGTTTATTCTGCATGTAAACCTAAAGAAATATAAATTCACGCCTTGAACATGTTCAAACTTAACATACAATCATGTTCTGCAGGAGCAACAGATACAGGTGTTTAATTATCATGTTGCAGATGATGTTTTATTGCTGTTAAGTTGATAGTTTGTTTGGGTGAGCTAAAACTGTCCATGTTAAGAATTGGTATATTTGGGTAAGGAAGGCAATTACCAGAACTTTTTATCTTTGCTTTTACTAATAATTATTGTGAGCAGAGGAAAACTATCAGGCAGTCAGATTATTATTGAATCTATTGTGTCACCAAGGGAGGGAGAACCTCTAAGTGATCCTGATTTAATTAGTATGTTAGAATGTAACATTGCTTTCTCTAACAATACAAAGAAAACCAATTGATTACGCTTCAATGCAAATTTTTAAACAAAAAATTAATTTTTTTGAGGAATTTAATAATAAAGCTAAATTTTTGTTAAGCCAAAGCATATTAAAGGAACTTTAATGTATCTTCCCAGTTTTTAAACATATTGATCTTATATCAATATATTGAACTTATATCAATCTGGCAAATACTCTTAGTTTGAAATTCCAAAAAAATCATTAATTACTTTAGCAAACACTACAGTGTTGTCAGATCCTTACAGAATTCATTGCAGCTACAGACCAGATTAAAAGTTATGTTTCCAGGCCCATTTTCATCTGTTTTGAATACATTTTTATGTAAAAAGCTCTTAATTTGTTTCCTTCAAGCAGGCCTCATGTTTCTTGTAGGTAATACAAAGTTTAATGAACTAATAATCAATAAAATTATTATAAGAATTAACAACTGATTTTTTATCATATAATGTGCTTCTCACAAGTTTTAACATATGACAGGAAACTAGAAATACCTTTATTTCATAGTAATGATGTTTTTATATGCTTGTAGCTAAAATCATAATTTAAGTTTGCCTCTAAACTGTCAAAAATTATTGCTGCATTTATTATTGCTGCAAAAATATTGCATTTGAAAAATGCTGTAATGATAGACACTGCTTTGTAAGCCTACTGATTAGAGTTCAGGCAGTCAATAAAAAAATACTCAACAAGTAATTTACAACTTTGATTGATGCCTACAGCCATGAAAAGCAGGGCTTCTTTTTGCCAATGGCAATAAAATCATTATTAATACTGCAGCCTTCAAATAAATGACCCCACATTTTCCCACTGCTGTATTTCGTATACTGACATTTCATCAGCAAAAGGGGCCATATTAATGAATGCCCACTTTGCACTGTATATCTCAGTCAATAATTAATAAAATTTAAATGAAAATGGCATTAAAAATGCTGCAATTTAATTCTACAGTGTGGAAAATATAAATGATTGTTAATGGAAATGTAGTAGTAAAAAAAGTAGGTTTTAATTATTAGACTATAGTACTATTAAGATCTATTACCAATTATTTAGTTTTATCTGTAGTAAAGAGGAAAAAATTACCACTCATGCCAGTTGCAACTTAAGAATTCCATAAATATAACAAGGTGTCAATTTTTATTTCAGTAATTAATACAAATCTATCATATAATAAAAAATTAAGTTGCATTTTAGGCTTACCTGTGAAATGTTATGCCTGGAATCTATTTTAAAGGTCTGTTTGTGTAATCATTAGCTGCTATGGTGAATGATGTATATATTAGTATTACAATCTCATGTAGTATCCATAATCAATTTTGCTATCTTTGATTCTTCTCAGTTTTTCAGAGGCATCATTAATCTAAGAAAAGCACTTCAGAATTCAACATTCTGGCACTTTTTCATTATGAAGCAATAGCAAAATCAGCAAATGTTACATAATATGTAGAGTGAGTAATCCTTTGGCCATGAGTGAGATTGTAATATAAATGTTAAGAACTGAACACGAAACTCAAATTTTTGGAAGGAAAAAAAAAAAAAAAAAGACTTGCGCGGGAAAATTCATCAATTGTAATCAACCAGGACGCCACAGGTAATGAAATGCACAAAGCTTTTTAACCTCTGTGAATCACCCAATTTTTCATGTCCCTAATAAGTTTTCAAAGTAACATGTGCTGGATATAAACTGAAATGCTACTATTAGAACTCGAAAGCATCAGCCACAGACAAAGAAGAACATCTCCTTTTATTCTTATTTACCTGACAAAAATGAGAATGTCTTCAACTCAGATATGTGTCTCATATGCTGCCATTTCTTGGCTAAAAGTGGCCCAAGGAATTTCTGAATTTAATCACATTTATGTAATATCACGTACTACAAGGGGAAAGGGAACAGTATTTTTTGTTGTTGCAAATTTTAAACAAGCGACATTTATAAGTAAATCTTGTATTAATTTTTATATTAAATATGATGATTTCTTGATTTTTGGATTAGAAATAAGCTTTATAAGAAGATATTTTTATTTTCTTTCTATTCAGCCTTATTTAGTATCTGCATCTAACAGAATTTGCCATTTTTTACTATTTATTAAATAATAATTGTTTTTTTAACATAAACCATTTATTAGTGTCTGATATGTAAAAAGGAATGGTTAAATCTTTACATAAATAAAATTTTATCCAGTTATTTTGATGTGTAATTTAAACATCATTTAAAGTTAAAAAACTAATAGATTAAACTGTTAAAAAATTTATAAGAAGTTTTTTAATGTTTTTTTATTTTCTAAAAATAATCTTTTAAGATATAAATTTTCATGAGGTTTGTGAAGAGTCTTCTTTCAGTGCTTTTTAAAAAAAAGGTCATACTTTAGTATAAAATATGAGATTAAGTAAATGAATAGTGATAAAATGAATCTCTAAAATGACATAGTGTCCATTTACTTTGTTTTAATATTATAAACTATGTAGCAACAGCTGAAAATTCACCAAAACAATATTATGTCTTTTAAATATTGGATTGATAAGGCAAAATTTGTTGTGAATTTAATATATAATCATACATAAATACCTAATTTTCATTAAGATTCTTTTCCAGTTTTATAGACTTTACTAATTTCTGAATTTAAACTAATACTTTTCTGGGTACATGAAAATCCCAAATTTCAAGAAATAAAATTGAATTATTTTTAAGCTTCTGGTGACGTAGATCACAAACATTGATTTAAATAATCGCATAAACATAAGTATACATGATTTTTTAAAAATATTTGTACGAACAGATTGTACCAAATAAAATGAAGTATCATTTGTTATTTCCCTAGAATTTTATGTTGCTGTTCTAAAATGCTTGGTAAAAATTTTGATTAAGAATCTAAAGTATTGTCTTAAAAAAGTAAAAAATGTCTGTAGCATAACAGTTAATAACCCAGCAACTTATGTCGAGCTGGGAATTTTTTTCTCAAGGGTTGAACTCGATTCTTATCAACCATTAGTGTGTTTTCTTTAACCGCTATTTCTCTTTCCAAATCTCTTCTTGTCTCTTGCAAATTGCTTAAGGATGCCTCAGCCCGGGCTAGTTGCTCTTGGAGAGCTTGGATCGTTGCTGCCAATTCACGACATTCAATAATTAAGCTGAAAAATAAATTTTTAAAGTTACATAATGATAGTTTTAAATAATTAAGTATTCTACACTTCATTACAAAAAATTTACTGATATTTAAAATGTGAAACAGTTTTATTGCAATTTTCTCTATATTAATATCTGCCGCATCCATATACATATCTTAAACATATTTTAAAAATACAAAGATATTTAAATATACTAGTTTGCTATTTAAAGGATTAGCTAACTGATTATGGTAAAGCACTTGAGGTCTATCTGAAATCAAAATGGATATTTTCTGGGAGGATTTTCTATTGGAATCTGGCTCATATTTGCCTTAAGAAACAACATGCAGCCAGCTCATTCAGCTTAAAGACTTAAAGATTAATTACCACAGTATTGCAGCTTTAGCATCTGGCCATTGTGGGACTCTAACATTTAAAATTATGATAAGCATTTATGCTCTCTGATATTATTCTGATTTGAACAATCCTATTACTAAAAATTGTATCTATCATAAACCATATAAATATAATGCTTAAAATTTAATTTTTAAAACAGCATGTTATAGTTATCTGTCTAATATTTTATGAAGAATTTCTGAAATTTGTGTTAATGTTATACATGGGGTAAAACTCTATTCAGCCTCTGAGAATGAAGCTAGAAATGAAATAGTATAATAGATTCTATAATTTTATTGGTCTGGGACAAACTGTGATTAATTCATAGTATTTGGTCCTTAATATGCCTTTATAATGGATATGCATGTTCCTTTGCTATTATATTAAAATAATAAAAACTAATTCTGTTGAAAATTAAATTCAAATTCCACATAATTTTATTTATGATAAATAATTGTAAATACTACTGCTGATCAGTTCAATTAATTAATTTTATTTTTAAATGGACTATTTCCTTTTATTAATTATTATTTTTTCTCAGTGATCTAGCAGCATGTCTGTATAAATGCTTTCAAAATTATGGATTATATTACAAAATTTACAGAGTGAAATATATGAATTGTAAGATTATAGTGATGAAGAAATGTAAGAAATTATGTGTAAAAGAGCAAATTGAGAACTAGATTCTGTTTATATATAAATTTTTATTTAAACAAATATTTTAAACTTGAAATTCTAATTTTTAAATTATTGATTAACCAATAAAAAAGTTTCAATTTATGTTCATAATTTTAATATTTTATTTTTTAATTTTAAAATATCTTTTGTAATATTATTGTTGAAACATTCTATGTTGTCAGCATCCCTGCAGAATGTTTAATGAAAATTTAGCATTTCACTGTTAATTCACTTAAATGCTTAATTTTAGAAAGCTATTTAATATTCATATAAATTTATACAACTAAAATGGAGTATTTTAAATAGTTTTAAAAACACATACCCTGTATGTGCCTTATCTTCACACAGTTCCACATTTGGACGCTCATTTCGCATATGGAGACGAGTTTGTACTTTCTTTAGAGGAGCTTCTTTTTCTAATATTTGTGTCTTTAAGAAGGTTATAGTTTTTTCTGCTTCAGCAATATCTGAAATAACCTAAATAAGAGATAAAGTAAAATCATTTATATATCTATTTATACCATTAAAAATTACTACTGCATTTTAAATTAACAAAGAGATTTAATTACTATAATTAGTAAAATAAAGTTGCAAAGAGGAAAATGCTCAGAAAGGAGACTATTTATATTTTATTTATGAGTTATTGATATCTATTACATAAAAAGAACAATTATGAAGTATATTAGAGGAGTAAACATTACACTTTATGACTTCTCAAAACATATCACTATTTCATAAGTCTGAATATCTGGAAAAAATATCAATTTTCATACTGAAATAATAGCGTGTTAAGTACTGCTATGTACAGCTATACTTTTATGTAGCATAATATTATTCCAGCTATGTAGCATTTATTTTTCTATTAATTGTTGATAACCATAAATGAATATGCAAATCTCTAAATAATGTTCAGATTTTTTACCTTAATAATTTAGTGCAACACATCAGAAATGACAAAAATTAAATCAGAATCATATTAAAAAAAAGGAAACTTAAACATAACTAATATAAATTTAGCAAAGGGAAAAGCTGAAAATGGAAACTCAGGTTTCCTTTTGTCCATATGTATACATACAAAAGAATAGATGCATTGCCAAATGACTCATATATAACAAAAATGGTTAGATATGCATTATTCTGAAATAATATTTTCACTAGAACGTAAGTTAAGCAATCAAATGGATACTGTAACTACAAGGTCTTCAGGAATTTACTGTTAAGCAGAAAAAAAAAAAGTCCAAAATTTTGAGTTTATGCAGTAGCACATTAAACAAGATTAGATTGGATTGGATCATAAACTTATTATAAAGCATAAAAGGGTTCCTGTCTAAGTTACAGCATAATTTTGATCAAGAACATCCCTTGAGATATAATCTGAGGTTTTTGTAACCTTCTTATCTCTACTATCAGCCTTGCTAGAAGAATATTTCATATTAATGAAATATTCTTCTGTCAAATGATTATATGAATATTTCATAAAATCATTTGACAGTGAGGAGGTATATCATAAGTATACCTCCTCACTGTCAAATGCATTGACTAAAATTAGAAGTTTTGTAGTTTATACTTAAATCTTTACATATGAAGAGCACAATAAATACATTGTTAGACAGAAGATTTCAAAAAGTTTTATTTTATGACCATCCTTAGCAGAAAAGCTAGTCATATCAGCAATTAATAGTTTATTCATTTATTCTGTTATCAAATTAAAGAATGTATTTTATTATCAGAATCACAATATACATGCTAAATTTACAACCTTACAAATGTCTCTCTTTTAAATTAATATCTATTACAAATATATATGCCTCATTAACAATGATATGTACTTACCAACTGCAAGTGCTTTTTCAGTCGATAGAGACTGTCACTTATTTCATTTATTCTTTGTGCAAGTACTGACTCAACAAGATCAGCTTGGCACCTGAGATCTTGGTAGCCATTTTGCAAATGTGTGTTGATTTTGTCACGTAAAATAGATGTCATCCTTATTTCATTTCTGGCATTGAATAACCTGTGTCTAGTGAACTCTATCCATTCTTGAGGTGTTGACCACCTAAATTAGATGTAAATTTACCATTCAGTTCTGAAAGAATTTATAATTTTATGTTTAAATGTGTAAATATTTCATTATAATTATACTAAAGCTAAGTTACCGTTCTTTTAAAGAAATTAAAAAATGACATTTAAGTGCAACAAAACACTATGACTTTTTGTTTGTTTGGAGTAGGTTTTTTTCTAAATGTTATTTTTTTATATTTTCAAGGATTGATACTTGGACCAATTAGTAGTAGTTGTATTAACAAATACTCAATAAAATTTTCCTAACTAACAAATAGCTCTGGAGTCTTTTAAACAGTTGAACTTTAGTTTGTAATTCATATACTTCACTTAATGTTTTATATACACTAATAGAAAATGAAATCCCATGACTAAGGAAGCTATGAAGAAGGAGCTGTGTTAGATCAGGGGTTCTCAGTGGGGTCAGAATTGATTTCCTAGGGATTAATGATCATAAAGAGGTCAATAGTCAAATATGCATTGACAAATGATTGACATCAATTGTATCAATAAAAATATTAATAAAATTGATAATTGATTCATATATTATATTCATATATTAAATGTATGTAGCAAAGAAGGAAATCATAAAAAATAAATATAAGAGAAAAATTGTACTAAAATTATTTAATAAATTTTTTAAATCAATACTATTTTTTTAAAATATGAATTTTTGTATGCGATAAGGATAATATAACAAAAGTAAAACAGAAGAACACAGGGAAACACAATGAAAAATAAGAACATGAAATTAGAATAGAAAATACAAAGCACTGTGAATATTTTTGAATGAGACGAATTAAAAATTAAATTAAGCAATCTTATGGCAAATATTAAAAACATTGCATTAATACATCAAGTGCAGCCATCATTGCATCAACACAGCAAATATAACCATCATGTTAATTAAAATTGAACTTTTGTGCGTTTATCTATGATTTTGTTTCTGAAAACTTGTTTATGTTTATAAAATTTAAAAATCATTATAATATAAAAAATAATTTAACATACATTTAATAAACCATTTTTCAAAAATTTTGTTCACATTAATTTAATTGTTATTTTAAAATTATTTATGTGCAATTACTTGCATTATGATTATGTTGTATATTCTGTATGATAGAGTAAATTAAAGAGAGTCAGTGAAGAAAGCCATTCCTTTAGAATGGTTGGGAATCCATTGTATTTGATAAATGAAATTTGAGAGGCATTATTTGCACATCTGAGACATCTTGTGTTAGATAATAAATGTGGCACAAATAGCACCTCTATGAACATGTAACTTCCATTTGCTTTAAAATATGAGATGTAAACACTTTTTCTTCCAAGTTGGGCCTAGTGAGTGAGATTTGAGTAAAGAATGCTTTTAAGGAGACGAAGAAGACAATATCAGTAGCTTTATGAGTTTGAATGAGGCTATATAATATAGCAACAAGAAGGTGGATTTTCTTTTTGTAATACTGTGGCAAGACCTGGCAAGAATGTATCCACTTTGCATGTATACTGGCAGCAGTGGTCATGGGAAGGTACTCTCTCAAGAAGGATGGGGGCTAGTTGCACATGTGCCATTTACTCAAAGGGATGACCACTGAATACGCCGCATGTTTGTTGCACATCGCATTACATCTGCAGTAGCCATTCGAGCTTTTGTTGGCACCAGAGTGACACCATAAACTGAAACAAATCGATTGCTTCAGAGACAGCTTAAAGACAGGTGCCCTATATTCCAAATCACTGCCATCAGTGACTTACACTCTATCTTGATGGTGTTAAAATAGAGCTCATTGGAAGGTGGAATAAAAATCGCTTGTGTTCTAAGACGAAAACCGTTTCTGTTGATGACAGTAATGGCTGTATGTTGGTTAAAAGCAGGGTTAAAGATAAAGGCTAGGTCATTCCTCTGAGTGACCCCTCACCGACACGATCTTTGTACTGGGAGTTAACAGGAAGTAGTCTGACATCACTATGCTGCATCAAATCTGGCTTTGACCTTAGTTCTATTCTGCTGCGAAGTGATATTCTAGTAATGTGGACACCCCATATTAATTTTAACCACATATATTTGTTTTGTAGAAATATAAAATATTTAGGAAATTTTGTATCTATAATTTTAGTCAGTTTTTTGTTTTAAATTTTGTGTTGTTTATGTTTCTTCTTGCGCTGTAGCAAAATGCCATAACATTGATGGAAATAAGAAAGGTAGGGATATTGTATTTTGTGTTTTCCCAAAGGATAGTTTGCTTTCAGCCAAAAAAATAAATACATGTGCTGAAGACAGGATTCAGTTAATGTCAATAATATAAAAATTTGTAGCGAACATTTTTTATGCCATGTTTATGAAGATGACATGAAAAATCACTTGCTTGGTCTGATGCAAAAGAAACTGTTAAAATACCTCTAAAATTAAAAAATTAAAAAAATTAAAATCTAATGCTGTAATAAAAAAAGGAGAAATATTGCAGAGGGCTTTCCAAAGACTACATGAATTAAGTCTGAAGAAAATTCATTTTGAAGCCAAATATAAAAATGATGACAAAGAATAATAAATCAGATACGAATGATTTTAAAACAAAACTCACAAATGATGATGTAAATTTTGCTGAATGCCCTACCTGCAAAAATAAACAAGAATTCATTGATAATTTGTAAAAAATAAGGCTAGATGAACATTTTAAGTAATTTGTGATTGTATAAAATATCAAAGTAGTTTCACATAAAAAGATCTTCTGCCTTAGCTTCTCTTTTGAAAAATTAAATAATTCTCTTTAGGTACTGTGAGCAAAGTTGTTTGTCAGACTTAAAGCAATGGTCTTGTATTATTTAAATGTAATGTATGTGTATAGATATGAGTATAAATTAGAAATTACTTTAAAAAATAACTGTTATAATTAAACTGTCAAATCAGGAGAGAAACGTGCCAATATAATTAGGCTGAAAAAGCAATCTTAGATCAGATTAAATTTTGGATAAAACTATCAATTTCAAGGACTAACAAACATAAGTTTCTCTTCTTTAGCAGCAGGGAAAAAAATTCCATATATGTTAAAAACTATGCCAATCTAATACTACTTTTTATCCAGGAAGGGGGCTAATTTTAAAAAGTTGTTATTATGGTTATCTTAGAAAGTGTAGAATTCTCCTACTCAGTATTCAAATGAAGATAAGATGATGAACACCATAGTTTTTTCTTCATGATTTAATAATCAATGCACAGGAGGGAGAAAAAACTGAAAGGTTTCAGAAAATGAAACTCGAGCATATTTTATATATTATTTGAAAATTAATGAATAAATATTATTAACTTTTTAAATGTTATAAATGCATCCAGCAATAACATCTTCTCTTCTAAATTATAGCTATTTGTTTCATGCACAGTTAATTTTAAAGCTGGTTTTTCAAATTTAAAATGTTAATTTCTTTATTGTGAATTATGTCTTTGCAGTCAGTATTACCAAGACTATGTCATCACTCTTCATTTCATGTTTCAGGGGGAAAAGCTGTATGAACTAGCCATTCTCTTCTAACTCCTGAGTTAGAAGAAGGCCAGGTGAGTGCTTGGAACCAAGCTGTCTGTGACATAGACACACTGAACCTACATCAAGAGTTATGGGGGTAGCAATTTTTTATAATAGCAAAAGCACTCTCACTGTTATCCCATACACCTTGTCACCAAACTTGAACATCAGACTGGTCATTGCATTGGTTGTGCTGCGATTCTTAAGTAGTATTCGATGGTACATTTTCTAACAGGATATTGCTCATCTCCATATTACTGCTATCATCCAATATGCTACGCAGAGTGTAGACATGTTGCTTTAGTTTGCAAGATCACCCAATCAATCAATCTTCCCATCAAGCACATATAAGATATGATTGGAGAAAAATCCAGCAACAGCCACAATCAGCATGGATCATTGCTGATTTGACTTACCAAGGCGTGGAACTCCAAATATATATATATATATATATATATATGCACACATATGTATAAGAAGGAAAAAATAGTCTTTAGGTAGTATTTAAAATTAGAAGAGAGTTTGTATACAAAAGGAATATTCATCAAGCTGTATTTATTAGATGAAAAACTTTGTAGATTATGCTCCACAGATCTAATATTGATATAAACTAAAAAAGAATAAAAGTACACATTACTTATTAGGTATTTTTTGTGGTCCTGTATAGAATGCAATTTGTTCAGTAGAAGTATTCTGCATATGGGCACATATTGTGTCGATGTTATAAGCTTCCCATTTATCACTCCAGTCTCTCTCCAGTTCTATTTTAGCCTGTTGATCTCTCCTGAAAGTCATGAAAAGCTATTAAATTCTGATATATATATGAATTATTTTTATCTGCTGTTATTTAGCAAATAATTTGTATAGTGACCACATTCAAAAAATTTTTGCATAACACTTTTTACATTCATATATCAGATGAATTATCAATTCAGATATGATTACTCATTTGTTCTTTCTCACATGGGAATGCACATTCATATGATTCATATGTTGTATCTTGGGAAATTATGTAATTTCTTATCTCATTCAAAAATTAAAGGCAACAAGAATCAGTGTAATATTCACAAATTTGCAGGACTAGTTTTGAAGGTTTAAATATAGAACATTTTTCTTCAGCTACAGAAGTGCAAATGACAAAACAGAAGCTGTGCTAAGGTAATAACAATGAGAGGAAGGAGATCAAGATACTGGCAACAGCTACTGATGAAAACTGAAAATGCCATGAAGTAATTTCCTTAAAAGCTGAGGGTAAAGGTGGATTTTATGAAGGTGAAACAGCTCTAGACAATCTAATTTACCAACGGATGATTTTTTTAGGGGGGGGGAGTAATTTAAGTTGTTTAGTTTTTTATCAAGAGATTGCATACTTCAAAGCATTTGCTACTGATCAAGTGGTTAAAAAATTCTCATCTCAACATATTCAGATGATTACAAGAATTCTGTTGTCATTCCTTTCTTTCCCTCTATTAGCTGTAAAATTACATGCATTTTACAGAAATTTTATTTTGGGGACGTTTTCTTCTTTTATCAATAAAATTTGCAGTTTTATACTTAAAAACCCCATTCTAGATATGAATTCCTGGAATATATAGAGGATTCCTTGCCAATATGTTTGAATTTCTATTGCTCAAATTAAAAAAGGCCTTAAAATTTCATATTTCTTCATAGGAAAAAGGTCTGAAAATCACATTTGCCATTTTCCTGAACCAAGCAAAAAACATCTTCCATTGGCGAATCAGATTTTTTTATAGGTGTTTCACATTCATAAAAATTTTTCCAATCTGTCCTTACCTTCAGCTTTTAAGGAAATTACTTCACGGTGATTTCAGTTTTCATCAAAAGGTGGTGCTTGTAGCTTGACTTCAATCTTGTCATTGTTATCACTTGGGCACAGACTTCTATTTTGCCATTTGCACTTCTAAAGCTGAAGAAGCAGGTTTTATATTTAAACCTTTGAACTAGTTATGTGAATATAACACTGATTCTTTTTGCTTTAGCACCTCCAACAAATGTCATTCAGCATATTATTGTAACTCAGATTTCCATAGGTGCAACTTTGAAAACATATATAAAACAATATGATTACAGCATATAGTATCAATATTAAATTTAACAATAATACATATTAGGCCCTTTTTTAGAATTATTTGAATTTTCTTAATACACCCCCCCCCAAACTGACACTTGCTGGTTAAGTATATCTTTTGATATTCATATCTGAGTTAAATTGCCATGTGATGCCATCTCATGCCTTTGTTACTGGGGATATAATTTTCTCAAAATTAACTCTTCACTTAGGTTGGTAATCTAAAAGAAACTTTTCTGTATTCAGTGAATTTATTTATTTAACTGTAGTTAGGGCATTTACTTCAGAGATAACCACAATGATTGCAGAATAAACCAGAAAATATCAATTATCAGAATTTTCATTATATTTTGTTTCAGAAGTGCATTTTAAAATTTCTTGCAGTTTAGAATGCGACCTTTTCAAAGCAAAGACTGAAGGTGAGAATTTTGAATTAAACACTTGATTCCAGTCTATTGGGCTAAATCAATGAATTTATGATAAAAGTATAATTTGATGCCATGGATCAAATTATAATTATTGATACAATCTGTCATGCACCTGCCATTTTTTTTTCCTTTCCACCTGTGAATCTAACCATTTTTGTGTGTATGTGTGTTTAATTTAACACATTTAATTATGTGTTTATAATTAGAAAACCCATCAAAATTTGAGGCAGGTGCATAATGAAAAAGGTATATAATTATGACAGTATTAAACTTGAGTAACTTTTGATTCTTCAGTTAAACTGCAAGTAATAGATAATAGCAAATTTTCATTTGCTGAAAGTATCATCTTTTAATAAAAGTGATGCTTTTAGTACAATGTATTTGGTTTATATAATTACACTTTTTAATTAATTTTTTCAGCATTCTATTATGGAAGATATGACTCCATTTTTCTATATATATGGTTTTTATCACTGAATGTTAATTACTGGAGCTTTCTTAAATAGCTTTGACCTATGTACAGTAACAAAAAATAAATTAAGTAATAACTTTATTGAAGATTATACTACTTCAAATACATCCAATAATTAATTCTAGAATTAGATAAAAAATCATTATAAAAATGCATAAAACATATAATACTGTTTGTAAATTATATAAGATTTTAAAATTTTAATGTTCATTTTTCTTAAAATAGTTAATATTTAGTTTTAAAAGGACGATTTGATTCTAATTCTCCAACAATCATATGGTAAGATCCTGATAAGTATGAATGAATTCTTTTCCTATAACAAGGCATCTTGAAGTATACCATATTCAAAATTTGTTATTTTAACATTTTTTATTTTACTCAGTTAGTTTAAATTCAGCCTCGAGATTGTTTATTTCATATTAACCATACACATATACACTAAATACAAACTAATATATTTGACTTTTTAAAAATCGTAGCTAGATTCAAAGAAAAAAATTAACTTAAGCATTAAGTAGAGTAACAAAAAAATCAGGTTATATTTCAAATTTTCACAGTAACTATGGTCAGTTCTGTGAATTTGAAAAATAAGCTGATTTGTGTTTGACTTCTAACTAACTGTCGGTGGTTATGTATCTAACTTAAGCATATTAAGATTTACTAAAAAAACAATGAAGCATAAAGTAGAATAGTATATTTGCACTTAATGATAAAGGTAATGCAGATGTTAACAAAAATCTGGTTCTGTATAAATTTTAAATTTAAACTGCTTAACAATTAATACTTACAATCACACAACACTTTTCCCAGTTTGATTTGGCCATATATGGTATGAGCATCTCATTTGCAAAGTTTCAGTTTTTGACTATTTCATTATTTATTTTAATTTAACTTTTTTTTTTTTTTACTTTCTAGATGGTCTTAGCTGACTGTAAGGAAAAGTTTGTAATTTGTAGTTTTCTTCTTTATTTATTTTTCTCTTTAATTTGCAGCAAAACAGATACTTTGATAAGTAAAGCATTTGCTAAATACTCGCTTAGCAAAGTTTTATCAAAAATCAATAATTTTTATAGTTTTTTAAAGAGTTTTTAGAGTTAAGGTATTTATTATTTTAAGCAAAAGGGAAGAGGAAAAAAAATTCAAATTTATATGTAGCATCTGGTGGATTACAAATCCCCTGAAATAAAGAATATTATCATATCATGGTGATAAAGCACTTAAAAAATTTTATACTTTTAATTTAAGTGAAGAAGATAAGAAGGATGTTGACAAAGTAATTGAAGGTTTCAAAAATTTTTTCATACCGAAAGCAAATGAAAGTTTTGATAGATATATATTTTTCTGTCAAACACAACATGTAGGTGAATCATTTGATGATTTTTTAACAGATTTAAATAAATTAAGCAGCAACTGTGTATTTGAAGAATTAAAAGATAGTTTAATAAGAGATAGAATAGTAAGTGGAATTCTGAATAAAAATCTTAAAGACAGGTTATTAAGGGAAGATCAGTTAACATTGGAGAAATGTATTAAAATGTGTAAAGCTTTTGAAGTAGGATATCTCCAGCTGAAAACTTTAACTGAAGAAATAAATAGAAGTTCAACGAAACATTTCACTTCAGAGAAAAAGTCAGCCTTGCAAGAACAAAGATCAAGAAAAAAAGCAAAAAGACTAAATCATCTACAAATTACCAAGGAAAGCATATAATAATCCAAACAGTAGAAAAATGGAACTTTCATAAGTTATACAATGTCCTGCTTATAATAAGATTTGTTGACTGTAAAAAAAAAAAAAAAAAAAAAAAAAAAAAAAAAAAAATTTTTCAAAATGGCACTTCAAAATGTAATGTTGTACAGAATAATTAGAGCATGGTGCATAATAATGAATATATTTTAGTCGTAGAAGATACATATCATTTCTAAAAAGAACAAAATGGTTGAAAGCTAAAAGTAAACATATCTAAATATTTATTGTAAGTTAGATGGTGCCGGTAGTGTTGCATGCCTAAATTTAAACAATAAATTTAAGAGGATCATGTTGACTAAATCAAAAGCAGTTTAATTTTAATCAAGGTACTCCAGTGAGTAGTTGGAAAAGCAATTTATGTGAGATCGAAAGGGGACAAGGATTAAGTAGATTTCAAGTTGTAGCTGTGAAAAATGTTCCAGGCATTCAGGTTCCTACATTGCAAAAATAAACCTAGTACAAGATTGTACAGGAATTTATTCTAATGAAAGTTACAGAATCTTTAAAAAGGATGACAATTGATTTAAAGGACTGGGAATTTAACTGGATATACAATCATATTAAATAAAACAGGAGCTGTTGTAAATACAGCCTGTAGGAAAATTCCCATAGCTTATTCAATCATTAAAAAAGGAAGAGCATGAATGGAGAAAGATGGTATTATAAAGAAAGTTAACAATTACAGAATTCGTGAATTCATTAGTGTCGTAAGAAAAAAGGATGGTATTTAAGAGTGTTTAGACCTCAGCACTAACCAAAAATACGACCATATCACTACCAACCTTTGAAGAAATTCATCTCAAATAATAAATGCAAAGGTTGTAGTTTAGATGCAAACAAATTTTGGCAAATTCCTGTCAGATCAAGTGCAATTTACTACATTTAATCCCCATTTGGTAGATTTGCTTTTAAAGGTTGTCATATGGACTGAGTTCATCACCAGAAGTTTTTCTGATTTTTAGTGATTTGAAGGAGTTTAAATTATCTAGAGATTAATTTGGGGAAAAGATAAAAAAGAACATGATTTGAGATTAAAGAAGTTGTTGGACAGAGCCAGCGAAAAGAATGTTAAAT